ATGTTAAATAACGTCGGTGACAGGGCATCTCCTTGTTTTAAACTTACTGTTGCCTCGAATTTTTCTGAATAATTGCTTCCAAATTTAATTTTACATCTTGATTCCTAATGCATAATTTCACCATTTTGACTTATTACGATAAAAATAATTTATTGACAAAAAATTTTCAAATTTAGTGAATATATGACTAAATTAAAATATAAAGACGTTAAACTGATTTCAGTGTGATAAAACTTAAAAAACACCAAAGTTGATAATTATCGTTTTAAAATATTAAATGAATTTATATAATATTATGCAATTAAAGTCGTGTAATTCGTTCATGTGTTATTTAAAATTATTATAAACTATTATTGGATCACAAATGTAGTTCAGAAAAATAATTTATGATAATCGATGAATTAGGAAACAATAAAAAAATTGACTTTTTACAAGCTAGAAATTGGCTTCATTAAAATAATTCGTATTTTGCACTTAAACATGCACATAAGAATAAGTACCGAATTTTATGCTAGAAGTTTTTAAAAAAAATAAAAACTAAAATTGTAGGCGAAAAGAACTTTGATTCATATCCTTGATGATATTGGTTTAGTTTGTATGAAACCTAAAACATCGCTTCATGAGACGATCACTAATTTTTAAAAATCACTTTTTATCGACAGTCATATTAGATGTTTGGTAGTTTTTTTCGAAAACATATATTTCAGCGATATTGCTAAGTATTCTGATTTAGTGTCTGCATAAAAGTTCTAATCGAAGTAGTTGGATAACGAATGACTGCAGGAGTGCAACAATCTAAAGGCTTGTGACCGCATCTGTATCCATGGGCACAGCTGTTCTTCATCACGTAAAAGATCTATCATCATATACATTTTTGAAGACTTTGAACAATACCGAATATCCGACATTTCAAGCCACATTGCATTATTAGAAGATGACAATCAGTAGGATGTTTCTTTAGAATTATATATGAATTATATGAGAATTATATATAATTAGTATTATATCGTTCACCTAATAAAATGCGAGAACTTTTAAGTGTAATATTAATATTTTGTACAATAAATATTTGGAATTAATTACAGACTTTGTTTTGAATTTAGGTGGAAATAACTTAAAAGAATATGGTTTTATTATTCCTAAAAGATCTGGTGAACTGTTGGAAAATAGAGAATATTTAAAAGAAATAAGCTATGATTTAAATGCATTAAATGCATTATGCATACATCATCAGGAATTGCTGCAATGCTTTTACATAGAGGAAAAACTGCTTATTCTGCTTTAAAGGTGCCACTACATTTAAAAACAATCGAGCTCTAACGTGCAATATTAATAAATAATCCAATATGGCTAAAGTTCAGAAAAAATGCAAGCTTATATTTTGGGATGAAAGTCCAATGTCTTATAAGAAAGGATTTGAGGCTTCAAACAACTGTTTGAAGAATTTGAAGAATTCAAATTTATTGATGGGAGGATTCACAGTACTGCTAGCTATACATTTTCGATGAATCTTACTAGTCATACTCATAGGAACTTGAGCTAGTGAAATTGCAGCATTTTCATATTGATAGTCTCAAATAGAAAATTTTTCTTTTACCAAAAATATGTGAGTATATTTAAAAGAAGACAGGACTGCTGAGCAGTTTTCTGAGCTACTCTTAAAAATATCAACAAAAAAAAAAATAAAAATAAAAGAAAATACTTTCCTGACAGAATTGGGTACTGTTGTAAAAACTTTAAAATAACTCACAGACAAATTATAATCTGCCATCAAAAATCTCAAAGAAATATTAATTGACTGATTATGTGAAAGAGCTATTTTGACATCAAATAATGATATAGCAGTAGAAATAAATAAAATATTATTGGACTCTTTTTCAAGCAAAAAATTTGGAATACAGATCAATAAATTCAGTACTGAAAGTAGATGGTGTAGTTAATTTCTCAATTCGCTCAACCCTCTTGGATTTCTACCATATTTATTAACTAAAAAATCTTAGCCCATCAAAATTGTGCAATGAAACACGTATACGTATTACTGGTATTCAAAAAAATCCGATAGAAGCTACAATTATGACAGGATCAAAAAAAGGCGAATCAGTTTTTATTTTTCGCATACCAATGATGCTATCAGATAATTCATTCCAATTCAAGAGAATGTAGTTTCTTGTCAAAGTATGTTTTACTTTGACAATAAATAAATTACAAAGTCAAATATTGAAAACTGCAGGGATCGATATAAGAGAACATTGTTTTTCTCATGGACAATTTTATGTGGCATGTTCCAGAGTTAGTACACTCACAAGTTTAGTTATTTTGGCGCCAACAGGAAATACACAAAATGTAGCTTATAGAGAAATGTTATGGTAAAATTGTTTCCATAAATTATTATACTATATTATATACCTATTAAAGTTAAAAGGTATTATAGGGTAACACAAAAAAATGGATGAAGCGTACATACTCTGTAACTTATTTTCCTAAATTCAAAAGGTAATAGGGGATACAAATGATGAACGTTATTTCCTTGGTCAGATTTTTATAAAACATTAAACAACCTCAAAATTCAAACAGCTGATCAGTTTAACAATTTAAACCACGGGTGAAACCGGATATTCATAATCTATATCTGCATATTAACATAAGCGAAGCTATTGCCAAACTTTATGATAAATAAGACAAATAATGATTATAATCATCTTAATAACTAATTAATATATATATTTAAAATATTTTTTTAACAATATTATTTAAATTTTATTTAAATAGACAGTATTGAATCTTACCAGATAACAAGAATAAGTACCCGTCAACGACGGATAATTCAGCTAGTAATTACATAACATGCATATTATCATTAATTATCATTGATTATAATACTAGTGTTGAGTAATGATATTATATACATTTTAAATATTAAAAAATTAAATTTTTAAAATCGATCAATAGAAAATACTTATTAATGTACATGCAATATTTTGTTACACATTAAACCTAATCAGAATATAATGTATAATTTATTTTATTATATTATTGTAACAAAATCATTTTTTTTTTTTACAGATTATAGACATGGTAAGTATATATATTTTTATAATTTTGATTACAAATTATAAGCATGTAGTGTATTGAAATACACTACAAAGAACACCTTATAGAAGAACTCTTTATATACTTAGATCTATTTGTAGTAATATTTATATGCTTTGAGTATACTAATTATTCCTGATTTATTGTAATCTTTCCTCAAATATTTTTGTTGGTTTGCAATGTATTATATGTTGTACCCTATTATAATTTATAGGTTATATAAAGTAGAAATTAGTAATAATAATAGTAATTTAACACTAAATATATATGATATACGTATGTAGGTATGACTTACTTGGTATGTATATACTAAGAAAAATTATGTATTAGATCAGATACCAAGCCTTTAAAAAATCCACTACATCATTGTCTGCCATGTTTGACGTAGTTATAATTTTTATAGTTACGAACTACGAGTATTTTACTTAATAACTAAATCTTCGAAAAAGTTAAACAAGAAACACAATATCTTACACCATAAACAGTCACACGTGACTGTACTATACGAGTATATGATGTTATGTCGAGTACTGAAAACATACGTATTTTATTTTATTATTGATACCCTATTTTTGTATAAATACATTCATTGTAGGTTTTACCAAGTTTTTTAATCATGTATTATATTTTCGAGTAGAGGCTACTCATTGATGTTAGTTCCTAAAAATTTTTATGTTGAGAGGAACAAAAAATATGCTAAAAAAATTCGAATTGTAATACATGCAAAATGTAGAGATGAAACTTGGTACACATTACGATAAATCATTCAACGTAATAACATATTATTATTCTTGACTAAAACTTAACTTAACACTAGTCGAATTGTTTTATTTGTGATAAGAGTTTCATTTCAAAGAGTGTCGTAGTTTTCGTTAGGTTTGTTTGTGTTGAGAGTAGCATTTTAGGGGAGGATCGTAGTTTTTTTATGTTTAGTGTATTGCGGGTTGTATTTAAAGGCCATTTTTGATAGGTTTGTTGTATTGCGGGTTGCCTGGGAGAAGTTTTTAAGGGGGATCAAAGGTAGTTAGGTTAGGTTAGGCTCTATTTCTTTCTACTTAAACGTAATGGTAATATAAATATATATATATGGGAACGGATGGACGGGTTAGGCTTTAAGTTTTCGATTGTTTACAGTGGCCGCGCGTCTTCACCGAATACATTCGTGTTAAAAGTTTAATCCTTTTAACTTCTTTTTTTCTTTCAATTAATACAATTTCCATTTACCCGTCACCTACCTACCTACCTAGCTACCCACTCACCCGTTGAAGTTTTTGACGATCGGAAGAGGCGGCGCAGGCTCGCCGTGGAAGTGCGCTTGTAGTGCGAGCGTCGGATCGTTTGGCTGCGCTGCACGTATGGGCGCGCAAAACGCCACCGCCGCGGGAAAACTAAACCCACGGGGCGCGTATCCGGCACGTTGGCCGATGACGATCGCGACATGCACGTTCGGCACTACCACCGCAGTCTGCCGCTAACCGCCGTCCAACCGGTAACTACGCGTCCGCGACCCGCTCGTACCGAAAACTCGCCGCGCATCGTCTTTTCGGCTGTTTCCGCGATTTGCCGTCAGAACTCCGTCCGTCACGTAGTCGCGGTCGTTTGTCGTGCCACCTCGTGACCGCCATGAATCCGCACGCGTTCGCCGTGCCGGAGCCGTGGTGGCTGTCACCGTCACCGCCGGAATGATGGCCTACCGCTCGAAGCGTGCCATTCGGCAGTGTTCGTGCTGCCACGCGAGCCGACGATAACGTCTTGTAACACCGTATTAGTTTGAAATCGTAAACAATTTTTTTTTTTTTTCGTTCATCGTTTTTTCTTATTTCCATACTTGTGCGCTTCTTAACTTCGATCGATCGTTGAAAACGTTTGATTTTCGCGGGTGCGACCGCGAGTTTAAGAGCGGCGGTAACCATCGCCACCACCATGGAGGCGGATCTACGGGTTCTACTGGTCATTTGGATACTGTCCACCATGGGAGCATCACCAGAACTCGCGTCTGAAGGTAAGCGTTTCATTCTTCCATGGAAAAATCGTAAACCGTAGTAACGTAATGTGCAGTACGGATTTACTCTGGTTTGTTTCTTTCCGTCGAGTGGAACTTCAGTGAATTTTGGCGATTCATCAGGAGGTTACGCGATCATATTAATGTCTGAATACGTAACTTTTATATATTTGTAGATTTTGAGAGATTTTCTTAGGTCTTCGAGACGCCCTAGAGTTGTTTATTTGTACTGGTGCGGATGATAAAACGTGAAATGGTTTGAAATCGAAATAAATGAAGTCATTTATACGGATAGGATATTATAGAGTAACTGATGTTGATATTCGATACGCGGATGTGTAAGCAAAGTCGTTTTCTGAATTCATTTCGTAAACGTCTTAGATTCTATTAGTTTTTAATTTGCAAATAATAGATTTTAATTGAAATTTTCTTTTGTCTACTAAATCGAGTTTTTTTTATATAGCATGGCAAAAATATCTGTCTTATTAGTATCAAATATTTAGTTCATTCCTTACGAATTAGTCGATTTGTTTTTAAATGTTTAAAAATTTATTAAGAAACATTTTAAGCATTTAAACGTTACGTTGAATATTAAAATCAACTTTTGTAAATAATTTAATTATGTAAAAAATCATTATACACTTTCATCTTCAGTATTAAGTTATTATTTTATGTTGATACTTAACTCGATATTTCTGTAATATATGCATCGGTTATTGGGCAATTTTAATATCTCTAACCTTCCTTGTATCACGTTTTAATGAAAATGGAAGTACAAATGTATGTATTAAAAATTCTAAAATATATTTAAATTTAAACTGTTTACCATTGAGTTTACATTATAATTTTATGATTATTATATTTTATATTGTTTATGAATGTGAGATCAAATTTTTAACCTCAACTATACATTTTGGTGTCTTTATTATGCGGAAATATTTCCAAAGTTCATAGTATCACCATTAAGCATAAAATGTATGAACAAAATTTTGGTGTATTTATTTTATTTCGACTATTTCATTGTCAGTTAATGTTGAATTTTGTACCTACTATTTGTACTTGATAAATCAATGCATTTAAAAAACGATTCAGAAATAAACTCTATTCCTATAGTCGTAAATGATATTTTACAAACTGCGATTAATAAAATTACTTTTTAAATAACTAAGTATTTTTGAAGTACTTACCTATGTCAGTTATTGTTTTGGATATTATTTGGCACGACTCATGTTCAATGATGGTGTTCAACAAATATTTTTAGTTGTCATTAGACATTTGTAAAAGTATTTTCAAAGATAGGTTTTGTCGAAATGAAAAATAATTGAACTTATAATAAAATTGTTATAAAAGATATAAATTTTCTTTTATCCTTATAATAAAATAATATTTTTGAAAGCCTAATATTATTTAAAAATAACTTGTGTTATAATTTATTAAGTATTATACTAGTATAATTATATATCATATTTTCTATACTTAAGGTGCTCTCGAATAAATCTTAAGCAATAAATGTATTTTTTATTTGAATTTTTTTTGTATACGTATTTCATACTGGAAAAGAGTAAAAAAAAAAAAATAATAAAATAACCTGCGAATAAATCTATTTATGTTAATAAATTACAATGTTTTTTTCAAATAACAAAACTTATTTTGTACTATTTTAATTGTAAATTCTGTTTATTACTATAGTTTTAAATTGTTATATTAGCAGAGTTAATAATGTTTATGAATTAAAAGTTTTAGTGAAAAAATTAAATACTTAGAAATAATTATTATGCATATTATGCAATCTACACTAATTATGATTTGTTTATTATTATTGTATATTTAAAATTAGTATGGGTTTTTGTTTTAGAAAAATAATAAGATAAATATTTTATATCAATGGAAGTGTATGTACTTACTTACATTTACTTTGATGTTTAGTAATTTATATTATTTAACTTGTTTTTAATATTGTTTATGTTTGTTTTTATAATTCACTATTAATCGCAGAAATGGTCTTAACTTTAAACCAAGAAGTTATGATAACATGTTTAAATTTCAAATGTATAAGTTTAAATATTTATAGATAATAAATAAATATACTGATTTCTACTTCAATATTATAAATAGAAATAATTACAAAGCACTAATTTATATATATTTTTTCGTGAATACTGAATAAAATTATGAATTGTAAAAGTAAAAAGTTATTATGCAAAATATTACATTAATACCTTTATAAATAATATTTATTTAATATTTTGACACATTGGTATTAAGTCAAATAAATTATACATGAGATATTGTAAGTCTATTAATAATTGAGATAGAATATCCTGAATAGGGCGAAGGTAATACGGAGAAAAACCAATATTTCTTGTTATAAACTTACGTAATCTGAGTTGAATCTTACTACATAATGGAAATGTTGATAATTTGTACGGCTTATATTATTTTAGCAATGGCTGAGTATTGAAAGTATGTTATTCAATTTTTTGGCAACTGATAGTTAAATATCGAAATAAATAGTTTTATGTGTTTTGAAAATAACAACAAAAGAGGAACAAGCGATCTGTTATTAAATAAGAAATTATCAATTTTAATTTTATATGAATACAGAAAATAAGTAAAAGTTTATCTCAGTTGGTTTTTAAATAAAAATAATAAAAAACGTATTTTATATATTTATGTGGTTACGTTAGAGTAAGGAAATTATATCGGATTAATTTTTCATCTCTTTGATCCTTGTATCACCCCACATTGTAAAACATATTAATGTAACGCACAAATAAAAAATAAAAAAATCATGCATTTTAGAGATGATGAAAATATACGAAAGTGTCATTATCATATATAAATATCTTTAACTAAATAAAAAATAAAATTTAACATACATTTTTCGAATAATTAGTTTCAAAATTTTATTTTTTAACGTAAGAAAATTATAAGAAACATTTTGCGTCCAATTTTGAATTCCATGGTAAATAAAATAACTATAAATATTATTTGCGATTGCAACGAAAATTAAACATGATTTAATTTTTTAAAAAATTTTAAAATTAAATAATATATTTAATTTAAAATATGACAATAATAATTATTGTAAATTATTTACATTGACTACAATTAAAATTTACTAAAGCAAATTTGTGTTCGTAATTGAAGTTGAATATTCACATGGAAAACAAAAAAACGTGGTCTACACTGATACTAAATATACAGTTAATAATAATAGTTGTACTATGTGTACACTACTGTATGGTAACTTACTATACAGTTATGTACTCATATTTACTGAAGAAGTATCCATATCAGTGTTTTTGTTTTTAGTTGATTTCTGATTAATCAATTTTATCTAATTTTATATTTGTAGACGGCGACATATCGACAGTAATGATCAAATTCTAAAAATTAACCGCTATCTTCAATTGTCAAATATTCTTAGAAACATGGAAAATATACGACTCAGTAGGCTACCACAGAATATATAGAATATATATATATATCATATATTCTGTGATGTTATAGTGACTAATTATTATATTTTATTATTATCTATGAAATTTCTATATAATGAAATAAGATATTTAAAAATGTTCAAAATTTTTTTTTTTTTTTTTTAAATATATAATATAGTAGAACCCGTTTAAGACGCTTTCGCCTAAGACGATTTCCCGGCTATTACGCTCATTTTTACGAGTCTCTTGATTTTGACATCATTTTGTTCCCGCGTTATACGATTTCCCGCTTAAGACGCTATTTTTAACTGGTTCTTTGAAGAGCGTCTTAAACGGGTTCTACTGTATTTACTTTTTAAAAATTAATTGTTTTCTACAACTTTTGGGGCCTCAAAATTTGAGGTCCCGGAGCAATTACCCTTAATGCCCTCCCTAAATCTGATCCTGATTATACGAGTACTATGTTATACTATATTGCATTTTTAGAAATATAAACTGATCCACTCAACCGCTTTCATTCAGAATCATTTTTTCAAGAGCAATGGTACATTGGTTTCAAGTTTAAGTTATCAAAACAACAATACTATTCACCCATCCATGTATCATCCCTGACCGTGGAATCTCATATGATCCAGAAATCTTATCTATTTTTTTATTTTTATTTACTAATATCACCATAAGTTAAAAAGAGAGATTAATATATATTTAAATTATTTTTATAATTTCATATTATAATTTTAACGTATTTAGGTACTTGGAAAAATAACTTTTTCAAATATTATTGAAATTTTAAATATAATATTATTTCTAATGTCCGTATATATACATTTAACAGTATCGATGGCATAGCGCATAAGTGTGATAAGTAATATTTTTTTGAAAAATGAGATAAGTGCATATTTAATTTAATCATAAAATTCTGCACATTATGCACAAACGAAATTATAACATTATTTAAGTAATTTTTGTTCTTTATTGAAATCAGAAGAAAAATGTGATGTGTTTAAGTATTACTTTTTACGTGTAAAAAAATGTGTTAAGTACAATATTTTTATTTTTTTTTGTTTTTTAAGAACACAAATGTGGTTATTTATAAGTTTTTTAATCTTCATTACTCATTACATGCTAAGGAAAATATAACAAAAATTTCATTACAGTTCGTTACATTTTTGTATTGCTATAACAGCTCAAAATTAAAAATCGTTCTCCTGAAAATTACGAAAATATCTTTTATTACACTTGTGCACTACGCCAACGGTATAGACTTTTGTTTATATATTTTTAAGAATATTATGGAACCAATATATATTTTTTTGAATTGTAGTTATCTATTTGTAACGCGTTATATCTGAGAAATTACTTATTTAAAATAATATCCATTACATTTTCGTTATACAATAAAAATTGTAATGAAATAACTTTAACGCTTTACTACAAAACTAACGACGTTACTTTCAATTACGTTTCTACCCAACATTGGAAATTTATAATTGATTTTAATAAATTATTTAAAAATAATAAAAATAAAAATATTTTGAATTTCATTATTACATAATA